CGCTACGATACAGTGGCCTTGGGGAGACGGTAAAATCAGAGGACATTTGAAATTACCCTTTGTACGTTACCGAAAAATTGTTTACAATAATTTAATATGCACTATTTATTCGAGAGGAATTGTGTATCGGGACGGTGGATCTTTGATGTCAAAGAATTTAGCAAACCTTTGTATAATGCCGAAATGTAGATCCATGAATTGTTTACTTAATTAAAATTCCTTCACACTCTTAAGAAGAAGAAGAGTGCCTTCTATATAAGGAAGAGCTTGGTGCTCTTTCATTAGTTTACTGTCGCAATTCGTCGAGTTTGGAGAAAGAACGTGAACTGAAAGTAAGAATAGATTTGAGAAGAAGATTTTATCCAACCTGTGCGAAAATGGACTTCTCAAAAATTAACAAAGTGGCGCATCTGGAGGGTTTCCTGCCAACGAAAAAATTATCAGAACTGGAGGTTGAAAAAGAATACAAGATTACCAGCATAAGGACAATTCAAACAAAATTTGGAGCAAGACACATCGTTGACGTAGAAAATAGCTTCTCAGTATTCCTGCCAGCAAGGATCTCGAGGGTTCTGACGGACGGTGAGGATTTCTTTCAACGGATGGTTTTGGATACCGCTGAGAATCAGCTTTGTATGCGTTACCTCGGTGGGAAGTTCAACCTCATGGAATTTCGATATTTGTAAACGTTCATACTTATGATTTAAATAAATTGCCATGTAAGTGACAAAAAAATCCAACTGCTTATTTCTTTCATATACACACTTTATTCTTAATCAAAAAATATACATTCCATCATCAAAGTCCTTAACGATTTAACATTTTCCATCGCTCAATTGAAATACGGAGCATGGTGATGCGTATATACGGGTAAGTGGTAAGGGTAAGTGAATTTTTTCTCAATTTTTGCAGCGAAGGGCAGCCCAGATCTTCCAAGTTCACGATGTTTAACGATTGCCCCATAAAATTCTCCACCCAATTTTTCTTTTCCAATCCTTTTACATAAATTCTGGTAGCATCTCGTAAAATAACTCGAAGAATATTTCTGGCTTGGTTGTAAGATGTATCGCCGGAGTTCCAAGAGATACCGTGAAAGTTGCGTTGTAACCACAAATTCATGCACTTGTATTTCGCTGGAAGAGAGCTCCATGGACACGGTGGTTGAAACAGAAACGTCGCAGGCTCGGAGAAATCGCTACCCACTCCAATCACAGACAGCTCCTTCAAGACAAACTCGTCCGAGGGTTTCTTGAAACCTTGTACATCCACGATGAACTCCATGGTGACAGACTGCTTGCATTGAGATGATCGTAGGTTTTTATACTAATTATTTCACCCCACCACTAATTGGATTATATTCTACTATTCGATCATGCAGAATTAAACAAAACGCTGATGTTTCGGAGAGGAAATTTTGGTCTGCCTCGAATTCGAGAAGAACGTCGACTGGTCCAAATTTGAGCGACCCATTTTGCTTAGAGCAATCGATGACAATTAGTGAACCATAGGCGAGGAAATCACTCTTTCTCAGGATGGGCTCAGGCTCTTTGCCGTAATAAGTAGCTTGAAAGTTTACATACATCTCGTACAGCAGAGCAAACTGATTTCGATCAATGTCAAGGTTTAGATTTCCATAGGGGTAGCATTGCGAATTCAAGAAGAGTTTAACGTCTCTGACATTGCAATGGTCAAAGTGACTGGCATTCTTATTTTTATTATTCTTTTTGCCAGTTTGGAATCCAATATAACGTATTGGAATTCAATATAACGTATCGAGGTTTTTCAAGTTGACTGGACGTCTTGACGGTCCACACGTGCTTGGATATGGTAGGCAGTAGAGGATACTCGTACAGTTCCCAGGTGCGGAAGCTCATAGGGATGGGTGCATCCTTCTCGATGAATTTCAGCAGTTCTATCTTTCGACGATCGGAAACCTTAACGTACGGTATCAACCATTCCAATTTTTGAATTACAACTTTGCATTCCTCCGGAGCAGTTTGTACAATGGCATTGACATCGCTCTTTGCTCTCGTCAAAATCAACTCATGCTTAGCGTTTACGACGATCTTGCGATAATCTTCGGCAAAGCCGATCGGAAACCTTTACGTACGGTATCAACCATTCCAATTTTTGATTTACAACTTTGCATTCCTCCGGAGCAGTTTCTACAATGGCATTGACATCGCTCTTTGTTCTCGCCAAAATCAACTCGTGCTTAGCGTTTACGACGATCTTGCGATAATCTTCGGCAAAGCCAAGTATCATACTCAGTGGTACGGATACGTCAAAGTAACCAGCTGCGTCGGCCAATTTCTCTCCTTGCATCCAACCAGCATTATCCATCACCGAGCGTTGACCAGGAGTCAGGGAAAGGTAGCCCTTCATGAGACTCGTGAGACCAACGTTCTTATTTCGATCGATCTCTATACCATTCATTTCATAACGAATCTCATCGAAAAGATGACAAATGCCGTTATTAACCAAGGTTGTGTTTGTAACCGCCATAGAACCATTTTCCTTCACGAGCTTTCCGTATACATGCAGCGAACTTCTACTCGGTAGTAAACACAAGTCTTGATGTTGGACGGGGATTCGTATTTCATCACTGTTGTTGAACGTTGACGATGCGTAAGGCTGGTGTGCATGCGATTCGCAGTGCGCTATAGACTCATCGAAGGTGATTGGTGTTCGAATATTTAAAGTTTCTTCCTCCATGGTAAGCAGCGGATAAAAATAATGCAGCAGCAGCAGAATGAACGATTTAGTTTCCTCTTCCGACTGGTGTGACCTTCAGTCCAAGATTTCTTAGGAATAACACGTTTTGAGGTGTTAACGCTTTGCAGCGCGGACGATGACTGATTCCTTTTAGACATATCGGTTCACTTTTATAGCCGCTATTATAACAACTACCAATCTTTCGGTTATACACGATCCCCATTATCACATGGATTTCAAGTGTAGTCTTAGCGATATGACTTCTCCTTGAAAATTCACCAAGTCTCCGTCCTGATCGAAGCTGTAGGTGTTCTATTGTCTTGCTCGATACTGGGAGGTAAATGACGTGCGACGGCACCTCTATAATCTTATATCCTGGTGTTACAACCGGAAAGAATTCGTGGATGGTATGTACCTTACGTTCGTTTATGTAAGCGCCTGTAGTAATGTTGCATTCGACTCGCAAGCGTTCACCTTGAGAATGGCTACAGGTACGTCGGATGTATGTAATTTATTAGCTTCCAAAACGCGTCGCCTAAAACCCAACAATCGACCAATCAAATCATCAGGTTGAAAATTGATTTCACGGTTACACTTAATTTCGCTGCAGAGGGTATTATTGTTAGGCTTAATACGAATTAGGTTATTTTTATCTATCAACGCACTCTGCACATAGTTCTCGATATTCTCTATCTCGTAGCTACCAATGGGTATAACGATAACTTCATCTCCCACGTAGAACTTGTTGTGACTAGTGTCCACGTTAGGAATCGAATTAAAGGTTAATAATTCGATGAGCCCCAGAGCATGATTTTCATCTCGAGAAAGTTCGATTGGGGGAAAGTACTGGGCTTCGAGTATAGAAGAATTGCCTGATAAAGTTAACGTGAATGAATCTTCCATGATTGCAAACGCTTGACTGACGATATGACATTATGCAGCATGTTTATATAGACGATACTTATTCTTACGATTTAACTGTCCACATAAGAATTTGAGACAGAAGTGACCACATTCGAAAGTATCATAGTTCTGATACTGTTCATAATTATATTTTACACTACCAACGTCAAGATACCTAATGAGATCTAGTGGGGGGCGAAGATTACCGAAACTGTCAAAGTAAATTATTGAGTATTTTTTCTTCATGTACCGTCCTCATCGTCGAGATTGACGATTGCCGATTCGTATTCGTACGATCCACCTTTTGGCATAGCATTCCGCATAAAAATTCCACGAAAATGTGAAATATTCACGAGCCTGGCGTACTCAAGCAGATCTGCATCAGTTAACGCTCGACGTGGTAGTTTCACTTCAAGTTTTTTGGCTTTAGATGAATGCCCAGTCCCTTCTTGTAGGGTTTCAAGTACAGTCCTTTGCCTAGCGCGATGGATTCCATCGCATTATTATGTCGTTGGCTTTCCTTCAATTGTTCCTTGGTTACCTTGGCATCGTTCATGGCTTTGGCTATACATGCTGCACCTCCTGCTAACGCTCCAGCAGCGCTCAGACCCGCAAACATAGGCACGAGAAACGGCAGGAAACCTCCAACTTTGGATGGTACGGGTAGAACACGTGGTGCACGTGTATTTTTCTTTCCACCAGCCTGCTTGACAACTGTTTGCGCACCCTTAAGAGCAGACTGAATTACTGCCTGTGCATCGTTGCTTTGTGTCGTCGATCATTTAGCTGCTTCGATAACTTTTCTCAGCGTTATCTTTTTCTTAGGCTTCTTCT